TATTTCGTTCCAGTTTGGTGCCTAACATTTCTTTCCCTCTCCTCTTTTTCCACCCAAGAACCCTAAATTCAATTCAAGAACCCATTGTTCTTCCTCTTTTTCCTTTGTTCCACTCCTTTGATCTTAACTCAACACAATGATGACCCAACACTCAAAACCATGCACGATTTCTCATGAATTTCTTCTTCTTCGATGTTTGGGTTTTTGCCAGTTAAACTATTCTTCAACTTTTTAATATTGTTGCAGAGAAATAAGGAAATGAAACCAAAAAAAATTAGTTATTAATCTTCAATCTTGCCATTTACAACTATTTCTGTAACATCCTGAAATTCAGGTCAGTGACTAAAATGGGAATTTTTGAAATTTGGTGATAAAAGTATAATAGTTAAATAGTTCAATGACTTATTGAAAATATAGTTGAAGGTTGTTTGGTAATTATTGAATGAATTAAAGGGTGAAATGGTCAATTGACAAGTAAGATTTTTTTTTATTTTCCTTTATAAGATAAAGGAACCACGTGGAAAGAGAGAGATTTCTCCAGAGTTCTCTTCTTCTCTTTTTTCTCTTCTTCACATGGAAGCCAAGAGCAAAGGTGAGTTTTTGGTTAATTGATTTCTTGTTGAATTTTAAGTTTGGTTTTGATTATCAAGTGACTCTTAAGCTTAATGGAATCTTAATTTGTCATAAAACAATAAGAGGAAAGGTATAGAAAGGATTAAAGGAAGGAAGTGAATAAATGAAATCTTGGTAGAAAGACATTTATGGGATTTCCAGACCAAATTTGACTTGTCAATAGTCTAATTAAGAAGTTAGAAACAATAGAATTGAATTTGGAACATGTTGAAAATTTAGTGTAATTCTTGAATTACATATGGAGAATAAGATTTTGATGTTAAAGAGGTGATGAATGAATAGAAATGAGTTTGAATATGTGTATGTGAGTTAAGAATATAAAAGGGGATGAAATATGAAGAGTTTAGCTAAATAGAAAGTGAATTTCGTGCTCTAACTGGAATTTATGGGTTGTGTGCATCGATGCACATTCATTGTGTACCGATGCACATTCATTGTGTACCGATGCACTCTCTATTAAATGAACATCGAATGTAGTGAGTGCATCGATGCATAGGGAGTGCATCGATACACCCCTTAAAATGGAAACATCGAATATAAATTGTGTATCGATGCATGGGGTAGTGCTTCGATGCACATGTTAAAGGATGCATCGATACACTGTATAATGTATCGATGCACTTCAATGGGAAATTGAATAAATCTTTCTTTCATTCTAAGAAATGATAGATTAAAGTATATCAATTGGATACTGATAAGTATCAGTACATGATTATGTAGATATCGAGCACGAACAAGTCCCAGGATGACTATCAAGTTAAGATTTTGATCGAAAGAAAGGAAATCATAAAAGGGGATTGGAACTTAGTGAGGCCAAGGTGAGTGCATCTTATTGCATATGATTATATGGAAATTGACTTGCGATGAGTCTATTTCCGAGGTAAATGTCATAGTATAATAGTATGAACATGCATATATTATAGTTTAGATTAAATGTGTCTAAGTTATATATGTTTGCATAAGAATGTACTCAAATGCTTGTGTGATTAATATGAAATATATGTATGCTTAATTGTATGAGTGTATATGTGCGATGTGATCTATGTGAATATATGGTTATGGAATAAAGTATGTAATAATACAATGTTATTTGATTTACTTAACAATAAGTCATAAGATTACAGGCATATGTAACGTAAGTTAAAAGATAAGAAAACATGTGCTTACATGTATTTGCGGATATATATATATATATATATATGAATAAGATATGATATATGTTTATGTAAAACCATGCAAAGTGATATGAGAAGGGAACTACAGGATTATGTGATCATATGAGAATGAGATAAAGAGCCATGTGATATATATGACATGAGATATATGAAAGAGAAAGCATATGTGATAAGTGAAAGTGAATCATATGATTATATGAAGATGGGAAATGATATGATAAAAGCTATGAGCATATGAGATATGACTATGTGAAACGATATAAAGATAATGCTCGTGTTATGTGTTATGAGATCTAGAGATATAGTTGACATGCCAAGAGTCAAGGGTTTACGCGGTCCTTCGGGATATAGTGGTCCTTCGGGACATTTCATAGTGGTTCTTCGGGACAAATTCATATGCCCCTAGTGGGACCTCATACGAGCTGTGGTGACAACATAGTGCACAACCTCAATGGACTCACATATCTACAGTTCTCACATGTGTACATGGGCTAATAAATAAATAACATGTGTTGTATATGTTTTGTGATATTAATTGTATGATTTATCGGATGATATATGTATTGCTCGGTTAAATGAATCAGATGTTGATTAAAAAGGTTAGGTATAAGAGGATATAATTACAAGATATATATGATAGTAAGAATTGTGATGGAAACGATGTGTGATATGTATATGTATATCTTACATTATATTTAATGTTATATTGTTTGGTATGGCATTACAAGATTACCTGTTCATGCATGTTTAAATAGTTTGAGTTTTCTTCCATATTTTATTATGTCTCACTAAGTCTATGACTTAGCGTGTAAGTGATTTACACGTAGGTACCAAGAAACATGAAGAGCAGGAATAGAAGTGTCAAGGATAGCATCACTACTAATAGATCAGATCAGAAGTAATTGACAAAATAGATATTTTGGTTGTGTATAGAGTGTTGGCATGTAATAAGTTGTTAATTACGAATGCTCTGATCGATTTTGTATTTTGTGGTCTCTTTTATGTAAATTAACGTATTTTGTTTTAATGAAAGTTTAAAATTTCCCCGTGTTCCATAAGTGTCAAAGTTTGAAAAGTCAATGTAACACCTCAGACTCATATTCGGGTCAGTTACGGGTTAAGGGTGTTACAATTTCAAACTCATCCCAGTTCTCACATAACTAATTCATTCCACTTATTATCAACCGTTAGAACCCGACCAATGAAATTAACAAACAAATGAAGAATAAATGGAAAGAAGGGATAATACCCAGAAACAAAAACACCAATTACGAACCGGAAAAACAAGGTAAGAGCCGCCCCAAATAGGTGGGTCCTTAAGTGTGGAGTGGAACAAAAGAAGAAGAGGAAGAACAATGGGTTCTTGAATTCAATTTAGGGTTCTTGGGTGGAGAATGAGAAGAGATGGAAAGAAACGTTAGGCATCAAACTGAAATGAAATAAATGTTAGACACCAAACTGGAACGAAATAATTTATTCTTTTCATAAATCATTTTTTAATATTAAAAAATATGTCATGTGACATTTTTAATGAGTTAACGGCCAACCTTAATGGTCTATCACGGTTGGACCTATTTTGAGTCACGGAATGAAACGTTAGGCACTAAACTGGAACGAAATAAACATTAGGCACTAAAATGGAAAAACATACATAGATTGGGCACCTTTTGTATATTTAAGCCTATCAAAATTATTATTAGTTTTAATATTTTATTTATTTAAAAATTTTATTATAATAAATTCAATACGAATGTGTTTTGGATACTTATTTTCTTTAATTCGGTTCAATTGGTTTCCATATGGAAAAACCAAAACCGAATCAAATTGCATATTTATGTTTTTAAACCAAATAGTAAATTAAAAAAATCGAACTAAATCGAATAGTCTAGTTCAAATCGATTTTTCAGTTTTCTCAATTTCGTTACTCATCCCTGGATTTAACCTCTGTAGAAGAAAATTGATAAAAGATGATTTTGTAAATTTTTGACTTTAAAATGGATTAGAACTTACTTGACTAAGTAATTTTTTTTTGAGATATTTTAATATTTTTCTAACAGTTTATCGTTATTTATTTGAATATAAGACATACATTTTATTATACATTATCTTAATTATACATTATTTTAATTATTTTATGTGGAGATTGTGTTATCTTAATTATATATTATCTTTTTATTTAATCAAATATAATTTTAAAAAATGAATTTAAAATATTTAATCAGATAGATATCATTAAATATAGGATAAATTATGTATTTAGTGCCTAAATTATCATATTTGATCCGTTTTAGTGCATAAATTTTAAAATTTTCCAAAACCGTACCTAACCTTTAGTTTTTGTTTCATTTTAGTAACTCGCCATTAAAAACTTAACGAACGAGCTGACAGGGCATAGCTTCGGTGGGCGGACGACCACACCAAATGGTGAACCATGAGAGAATGACGAGTTGATCAACATAGTCTAGTTTCAGAACCATTGGACGGTTGACAAAGACAATTGGATGATGAAGAAATCAAAGAGTTCATCGTTAATTTGGAGAGATTGAAGAGTTCTCCGATGAAACGAAAGTCGAAATCGTATTTAGGGGGTTCAAAAAGTGCGGGTTAAAAAATTAAAGTTTCATCATAATACAAATACGACGGTCGATGACTGCAGACTCAGCAACCAACGAGCTTGTCCATTGAGTTTGTAACAACGGGTATTAAAATGAAACAAAAACTAAACGTTAGTTATAATTTTTAAAAAATTAAAAATTTAACTACTAAAACAAATCAAAACTAATAATTTAAGTAATAAATGCGTACACTACCCTTAAATATAAACACAAATATAACTATAATAACAAGGCTGTCCCTTTTTCCTATATGCATGGGGTAAGGAGAGGTAAGATAGTAGGCTACCCCAACACTAGGTTGAGAGCAGCTTCCGTAAGAGATCTCCGAATTATGAAATGCCCTCCGTGGGACTCGATTCCACGACCTCAAGATTAAGAACCTTGTGCTCTACCAACTGAGTTGAATGGTCATTTCATAACTATAATAACAAGGAAATCATAAAAAAAATAGAGTATATGGGTAGGTGTGAGATTGACCGAACCAACTTTGGCAGGCCGTTGTGTATATAAAATCCATCTTCGTCTTCCATTCTTCTCAGCTTGAGGTTCCCTTTCTCCGAGAGAACACCAAGCTTTCTATTCTTTCCTATTTGTTTTTCATAAGAACAAAATGCAGACCATTTCTCACTGCCGAAATCTTAATAATTCTTCTTCTCTAATTCGATCTTCCACGCCTCGGTTTCATAAGCTGATTCGGTTGGCCGTACGTTGCGCCTACCACTCTGACTCCGTCCAATTCCCCAATGGCGTCGGTTCGAGCCGGGCTGATTGGCAAAGCTCTTGTGCTATTCTCTCTAGTAAAGTCTTTTCCCAGCACCAAGATTCCGACGACAAATCCGAATCTTCCTCCGCCGCTTCCGCTGTAAACGGCTATAAAACCTCCTTGGATCTCAACCTGGTCCCTCTCGACAAGAGCAACAAGCCTCAACCACCTTCGAAACTGCCTCTACAGAAGCCGTTAACCATAACCGATTTGTCTCCTTCTCCGATGCACGGCTCTGAGCTGCGTGTGGCTTACCAAGGAGTCCCCGGTGCTTACTCGGAAGCTGCAGCAGGAAAAGCTTATCCGAACTGCGAAGCCATCCCGTGTGATCAGTTTGAAGTTGCGTTTCAAGCGGTTGAGCTTTGGATTGCCGATCGAGCCGTCTTACCGGTGGAAAACTCACTCGGTGGTTCGATTCATCGGAACTACGATCTCCTCCTCAGGCACCGCCTCCACATCGTAGGTGAAGTTCAACTTCCGGTCCACCACTGCCTCTTAGCTCTCCCGGGTGTTAGGAAAGAGTACTTGACGCGCGTCATTTCTCATGCGCAAGCTCTCTCTCAGTGTGAAAACACGATCACCAAACTCGGCCTCAACGTCACACGCGAAGCCGTCGATGATACCGCCGGAGCCGCCGAGTATGTAGCCGCGAATAACCTTCGAGACACCGCCGCAATAGCAAGCGCACGCGCCGCCGAACTCTACGGACTCAACATCCTGGTCGATGGAATCCAAGATGATTCGAGCAACGTAACGCGCTTCGTGACGCTAGCTCGGGAGCCAATCATCCCGCGCACGGACCGGCCGTTCAAAACAAGCATCGTTTTCGCGCACGAGAAAGGAACGAGCGTGCTTTTCAAAGTGCTATCGGCGTTCGCGTTTAGGAACATCAGCTTGACGAAGATCGAGTCGCGGCCGCACCGGAACAGGCCGATCCGGTTGGTGGACGACGCCAATGTGGGAACGGCGAAGCATTTCGAGTACATATTTTACGTTGATTTCGAAGCGTCGATGGCCGATGTCAGAGCCCAAAACGCGTTGGCTGAGGTCCAAGAGTTCACCTCTTTCTTGAGGGTATTAGGCAGTTACCCAATGGATATGACGCCTTGGTGCCCGTCAAGGGGAGATTAGCAAAACCCATGAAAATCAAAATTATAAAAAAAACAAATAATTTGCACAAAAAGAAAATTGTCGAAACTAATTTCATATTTATTTGTTTTTGGTTAATTCACCAACAAGCAAAAAATAAAATTGTTGTTGGCTAAATATTTTTTAATGATATAATTAATTATGTCCTTCCAAAACTTGTTTTTTAGCAAGTTTTATTTTATTTAAGGATTCGATTTGATCACGGTATTCGAATAAGACTGTTTACACGATGAAATAGTAATTTTATGTTTGAGATAAAAAAATATTTTTAAATTCATTTATTTAGTATTATTTATAATTCCAAAAGTGTATTCGATTCTACCTCCATTTTAATAAACAATGGTGCTTTCCCAATTGCTCTTGTTTGTTCTATTGTAAAACTCATATCAAAACAATAGACGATCGAATTCATTCTTATTCTTCGTGAAACTAATGTTGTAGTAGACTTTCTTGCGAAATCTACCGTTATTTCAAATGAACAAGCTCAGACCTATACCGAACCGTCCCATGAGATTAAATCACTTCTTCACCGTAATCTCTATGGTCCTGCTTTCCTTCACACTTAGTATTTCATTATAATAGTCTTCTTATAATTCAAAAAAAAACAATGGTGCTTTTAAGTGTTTTAATGATTCTCGGGAAGTGTGGGAAATTTTCTTTACTAAATAGGATTATGAATTAAGATTTGTGTTTGATATTAAATCTAATTAAGTTTACCCACTTTATAAATAATGTTGTTTAAACCTAAATCACTTTTCTTATCATTAAAATCATTCTTTAATTCATGAAAGAAAATCATCATGCCTTGCGTAGGCAGTGACTTCGATTGCGAGCCTCCATGAATAGGGCCACCATTTTAGAGGGTAGGTGATAGAGGCATGGCAACTTTTACCCATAAATTATAAGACGTGATCAATTTTTTATCTTAGTTTTCCCACACAATGTAAGGTCAAAAAATATTAAAAAGTAATCACAGTCGAAAAAATGATAAAAAAATATAATATTATATATTGGACATAACTTAAAATGTTATATTTTTCTTAATATTTTCAGTTAAACTTAAAATGTTACAAAAAATGTAATATTTTCGATTGCCAACTGAAAATGTTACGAAGAAAATAACATCTTAGGTTCAACCGAAAATGTTAAGGAAGAATGTAACATTTTAAGTTGTGCTTAACTTAAAATTTTAAATTTTTTTATCACAATTTTAATTGCACTTATTTCCATTTTTTAATCTTAAATTAAGATCTCGTTCTTTAGACTTTCTTCGGGTTAGATAGATTATGTAATAAATATTTGGTGATAAAAGAATTTTAATTGTGCTTATTTATGCTTTTTTTATCATATTTTGTTTGTGTATGTAGGGTGTGTGCATTATCAATAGTTAAGGAAAATTTTAAGTAAATACTAACTTATAATTATTTTAGACTATTAAAAAATCAAATTAAATATAATAAATCTATAATTTATGTATAATACAAAGATTAATAAAAAAAATTGAATAAAGTTTGAATGAGTGGGTAGTTGGACGCAAAAAGGAACTAGTTGCCATGGTTACTTTTAAAATGCAATAGAAAAATATAATATTTACTTTTTCTTCTTATACTATATCCAAATTATTCACGTTCTTTTATGATTATAAATTGAAAAATATCATGTCGTTAAGTATGTTTGAATACACATTTTACTATATGTGATAACGATTACGATGTTAATCGAATTAATATTCAAATAAGGGTTTACACGTAATTTTACAATAGGAAGTACGAATTTTAAGAAAGTTATATTAGAAATTTAAGGATGTTAAATTAAAAAATTTCAGAAGATGAAAACTTAGATTATCAATAGAAAATGCAAAGAAAAAAACTTAAACTATATGAAAAATTAAAATTTTCAAGAGAACGACCGTCCCAACATCTTCTCGATCCATCCCGGAACTCTTGAAATTTTATGTAAGAAGACTACGTATAAATTTATATACATTAATTACTTATCCTTTCCTTTGTGAATTAGGTTTGCATTGCATGACAACATATGCTTAAATAAACTAATTAATGAAGTACATGGTCCCCTTTCCCTTCAATTAGTTAGGTCACTTCAAACCTAAAATAACCATTTTTTATATCTAAATTAATTATCATTCATAAAAAATATATATTTTGAGTATAACTAAATAAATAATTTTAATTTCAAATTTTTTCATGTTATATCATCATGTAATATTAAAATATCTTTTGTCCTAGTATTAAAAAAAAAATAACTCGTTTATATAATACTTACCCCTCACCAACCTAAGAGTTAATAAGTCTAAATTAAGTTGGGTAGTTATAATGACAGGTTATTAATAACAACAACAATAACAATAGAGCTTCTTATATAATGATTAGAATATAACTTTAAATTTTATTAGTATTAACTTTCAAATTTTATCTTAGATAACTTCTTCTACTGCTATAACTAAAATTATATATAAATTATATCAATTAAAAATCATTAACAATATATTAAAATTGTTTGGGTATAAGGCAATCAAAGATAATAAGATTCAATTATAAATTTCATCATTTAATTTTCTTTTCACTCTTATATTAGTCACTAAAGTTTAAATTTTTAATTTTCTCACTAAAATTTTTTATTTGCCCATATTTTGATCACTTAGGTGTTAAGTCGTAAATCGAATGGTACATGGCAATCACGTGTGCTTGTGTAGACAATTTTTTTATTGACATGGATTCGCATGTAATTCAGTTCATTCCCCCTCTTTTCTTTATTTTGTTGATTTTATCTTCAAGTTTTACAGTTTCATCATTGTATCACGTAGTGCTGCAATTACCGTTCTTTGATGTCTTCGTTGGCCACTCAAGATATTGATCAACTCACCTCATTTTCTTGTACCACTCAATTAGTTTAGATTTTACTTAAATCAATTTAAAACTCATAAAACTCAGCCTTAAATGAGAGTAAATTGAAAGTTTAATGAGTAAATTGAAATGATTAAAATTTTAGTGATCCAAATAAGAATGAGAAAAAAGTTAAATAAATGATGAGTTTTATAATTTACCCTAACAATAAACTAAATTCTCGCTTTCCTACGTACAAAAGATTGATATTTCATGGTAAAGCCACGGTTTTCTATGTTCGAATAAATTTCCAAAAGTTTAAGTCATTTTCTTGTGAAATTTATCAGTGGATTTAATTTTTGAATAAAATTCTACATAAATAGATGATTCATCAAATTACGTATGGTTACTAGCATTTTGTGTTTCTATTGTTTCTTTATTGTCCATCATTGCTAGTTTGTTACACGAACTTAATTATACATGTAATAAACTTATACAATGCTTGATTTGAATTAATTGATCAATAAATTAAATATTAATAATTATAAAAAAAATGGGATAAAATCCATATGTCATTGAACTTTAGATGATCTACGTTCAGACTATTAAACTTTCATTTGCTTTAGTTATAACATTAAATTTTAATTTTAGGTTCAATTATATCACTTGACCTAAGATTCAATGTTATAAATAAAATAATTAAAAGTTTAATTATACGAACTATACATAACCTAAAGTTTAATAACACAACGTAATTTACTCTAAAGATTATAATATATTCAACTATAAATTAAATGAGAAATAGGGTTTGGTGAGGGGAGATGAGCGGTAGGTGGGGATTTAGTAGTTGAGCCGCTTACTTACGTCGGTAATTCCTCCCCTCCCCGCCATGGCTTCTAGGGATGGGCAATATTCAAATTTGATGAGTTTCATTTTTTATCTAATTTGATATATTTAAGTCAGATTTTTTTAAAAAAAATAAATAAATTCAGATCGAATCAAATTAAGTTTCGAGTGAAAAGTTTATATTTTTAGATCGGATTGGATTCACGCAACTCATTCCCTATCCCTAGTGGCTACCCTACCCTACTTGTCCCTCTTTCACATTTTAACACTTTGGTCGCTTTATATGAATATATGTATATACTCTGATTCAACATGTAGTAAGATAGAAATTTTTTTTATCTTTTTTTTTATATTATGTTATCTTTTTTTTATAATAAGTTATCTTTTTTTAGTATACTAATACGTATTTTACAGCGGGGATAATCTCCACAGCGGTTGGTAAAGGTATTTTAAAAGGCTGATCGGTTGGGTTAGTATTTTAATTGGTTATTTACTGGGCTACGTCTATTTAAATTTTAAAAGCCCATTTTTTATCGGATTTTCGAATAATTTAAAACTATATTTTAGTCGATCCGTATTCAATCCGATTATTTGATTTTTTTTTAGATATCCGATCTGAACTATAAAAAGACGGATTGAATATCTAAATTTTCGAATAGGATCAATGGATCAAATCAATCAGATCAGATTTTCTTTTACAACTCTAATGAATATATTTATCCAACATATTCATGGCAAGATATTGATAATCAGGGATAGACCTAAAGGATCGAATAGGGACAATTGCCATTGGGATCTATTGGTCAATTCACTTGTAATAAAATGGATATTAAAAGATAATTTAATAAAAATTAAAAGGTTTCACAATTCACATTGGGATCTGTTGGTCAATTTAGTTTTAGTCTCTTCTTTGATTATTATTTTCCATGAAATAAGATCAACAATTTCATGTCAAACCATTGATGTGTCATGTCAATGACAATTATTAAATTTCATGAATCATGTGTTTGTAGAAGAAAGTTCTGGCAAAGTCTCCAACTACCATTACAATAATCATTCATTGTTCCAATTTTCTCTTCTCTTTGGTAATATTTGAAAATTGGTCAATCCATAATACTTACAAAAATGGGTTAGGTTTTGTTTGGTATAATTCTAAATTTAAGCCTCAGAATTTGTATGCTTTATTTTGACATACTTTACCCATCTTAAATTTAAGATTAATTTATTTTACAAAGCACAAGATTGCATGCTTTCAACAACTTTCTTGTCCAAAAGGACTTTGGGGTTCCCACTTCATCTCTTTCACATTCAATGTTGGAGCAAGGAAACAATGGC